GGTGAATGTGGGGCCAGCAGAAAAATAGTGATATCTAAAAAAGCAAGTTGAAGGGGCGGGAAGGAATGAACGAATACCCCTGGCCTAGATTAACTTTTCCCAACCAAGCACTCTCCACGTATGTCAGACTACAATTTCCATAACTCCCAATTCATATGGCTGGGGACAATGGGAGTTGTGGCCTAATACATCTAGAAGGCCCTTGGCAGGGTGGTTTTCCCAAAGCCTGACCTGTTATGACCAGTTATGCAAATCTGCAAATGCAGTCCAGAATCCTGCATGTCAAAATTTGGGTTGTGATGGAAGAAATAAGAGTTTCGGTTGTCAAAAACAATGGGTGTTTTCAACCCACTCCAGTTGTTACTAATGTGTACTGTGATGGGGGAATGTGCAGGCTTACTTTGCTGCCTGTTTTGATGTCTGAAGACCTGCTGATGTCGAAACGGTGACGTTGGTTGCTAATGTACGTAACATCTCAAGTGGGTTTAAAATTACAGAACAGGCAACATGTGCAGTTCCAACACTGATGCTGCAGCTTCCACCCTTGCCAAATTCATATTACCAGCAAAAGATGCCTCTGTGTGTGTGTGTGTGTGTGTGTGTGTGTGTGTGTGTGTGCATGCTTGTCTCTGGCAAGCACAGCAGAACATATTCCTACTTTACTCTGCAATTCATTCACTAGGAAGTTACGTCTGTGTGGCAGGAGAGAGACGCAGTGTTCTGCAGGGTCCCTCTGTGGGTGAAGAATTCCCACATGTCTCAGAAATCTATGTAATGTCTGGCACTTTTCCCCCTCACATTATAAATTGCTTGTCATTCATTGGTCAAGCTCCTGGCTAGTCCACTGCCAAGTCTGTGAGGTGAGTCCATGGTTGCTTCAGAGGCTGACAGAAATGAAGAAAGGCTTTACGTCCTGCATGTTCTGGACCATGCTGCTCCTGCCACGCAAGCCAGGGATTTTGGATCGCCTGAGTTGGAGTCATTTGAGGCTGATCTGCACTGAAAGCAAAGAATCCTACGGACACCCCTCTCCTGTTTTGGCAGCAAAAATGTAATTACCGTCATTGAGTAATTAACCATTTGCTGCCCTTTTATGGCACTTATAAGCAGTTGCCTGGGGCAGCGGCCTCATTCTGCCCAGTGGCAGAGCCCCCCACGATTCGAAGTACTAATAAGAAAAGGAGTTGCATCCCTGAATGCTTCTGCAGTGGGCAGGAGAATCGTTCTCTATATGAAAGATGAACCTTATCAGTGGAATGGCACAACCTAGCTTTCTGCCTGATAGTCTATATTTCATTGCACAAAGAAGCTGATAGGGGTATGTATTTGAAAAACGGAGAGAGAGAGAAGAAATGATCACGTATGTGTCCTACCCATCCGCAGGCAGAAATAAGGCAACTTGATTCCATCAGCTGGATAAAATTGGGCGGAAACAAGTGAAAGGATCAGTAGGAATGTAAAGGATTGTAATAAGGGGCAAAGGGTATAATGAATTAGGAAGGGTTTCCCCTCTACAATTTTTCTGGCTAATCCCCATTTCCTTGAATGTGCTATTTCACTTCCATAGAAAGCAGTATAGGATATGCCACCGGAATTTCCATTATGGAAGAAATAATAGCAGGGAAATGTGGTAATGTTGAAGTGGAAAAGTGTTGTGGGATGGGAGAGAGGAGAGTTTATTCAGGCCCCTTGTCCGTTCCCTCAGTCACCCTTGAATTTCTCATCCCATCCCTGAAGCTGCCTGGTTGTTTGTTTAAAGACACACATGGATGCTTTTAGAGGTAGGCAGTTGATGGGAATTGTAGTTTAACGCTTTTAAAAGGCATCATTGGGGGAAAGCTGCTTTTGAGGATCCTTGATCCAAACTTTTATTTCTGTTTTATGTTGCTGTTTTAACTCTCAGAGGAATTACAAAGCCTTGGTTAAGCAGCTCCATCCATTACCTTTTTTAGTAGTTTATTAGTAATTTGTGGGGATAGCCTTAAAATTTTAATAGTTTATTAACCACAGTCACATGCCACAGTTGCCAAAACTAAACAAGCCACATCATAGCTTTGTGTGATGCATAAATGCAGACCTAGATTGTGAGTCTGGTTCTTAATCACCTGTCTTATTGGTGACTGTCGTTATGATGGCCTAATTCATATATACCATTGTACCATATGTATTTATGTTCATAAATATATTGATCCCATTCCTAGTTCATAGGTATAATGTGCAATTATTTGATATTTCATCTTGACTATTCGGGAGCCAAAGATAATCCCCTGAAAGGCACAAGTTGCCTTTAGTGGGGGGATGCTGGATCTGAGCTGGCTTAGTAAATATGGAAAATTTTGTTTGAGTGGATTGATCTGTGATCATTCACATATGCATCTCTTCATTTGATCCCTCACTTAGCAAGTCATAAAAGGTACAGCTGAACTACTCCCTGACATTTTAAGTATATCTGTGCAAATTTAAAATTTGCCCAGTTTTGTAATATGTACATTACAGCTCTTTAGGCCACAATATGTAGAGAGGAAGGGCCACACTGATAAATCCTCGCCAGCTGCAAAGGGATACCTGGTGTGCCAATCAGCTGTTCCACAGCTAACAGAAAGATGGCAATGCCAGAGCTGGTGGTAATAGCAAGGCTTGGGGAGGGGAGAAATTATTCCTTTTTTTAAAAAATGCTGGCAGGTTTCCACAAGGCTGCTTGGTGGGCTGCATGTGGTCCGTGTATGTTGTGCAGGCCTGCTTTAGTTGCAGACCAGTTGTTGTTTCTTCATTTGTGAAATGTTGAACCAGCCCAACAGATGTTTGTAGCTCTCAAGCAACCAGGACTGTCTGCAGAGTGGGAGAGGGAATCAAGGTGGTGGCTACAACCTTTGTTTTGCATCGCACATAAAAAAGGCAGAGCTTCAATCACGCCATCCCGGCCACCCTCTTGACTTTTCCAACCATTCACTGCAGACACCCTGTAAGCAGCAA